GGGGGGGGGTCACTTTTCCAATAAGAGATAATGAATTCTCTGCTGTAGAAACTCAGAATTTATGTACAGAATACAAAGGGGGTTATGTATTTTATATGCAGCAGATATTTAGTATAATAGTAGCTATTAACATACTTAAAAGCATTTAAATACACTTCCATGGCAACTCAAAACAGAATTGGTAACAGAACTCAGATGCAGCATTATATTTTTGGCAGACAGCTCAGACAACTTCAGTAGTATCCTGTACTCCTATCAGTAGTACCCATCCACATCAATGCATCTAGACAAAGCATTAATACTGCATCCCGTTCTCTCTGTACATGGTGCATGTAGCTATGAAACTGTCAATTTGCAGCAGCGCTATTTAGATTCATTGTAACTACTTCCTTGATCTTAATATTTTGTGTTGCATATCTGGCATGACACTTCATTATAATTTTATATATAAAGTAGTAACACATCTGCACTACACTGATAAAAAGATTACTGTAGATTTCTAAATAAACAAACACATGAATTTGATTTAAAAGAAGAATGATAGCGTAATATGAAACAAAACCTCTTTCTTAGTATTCCACTACTGAAACTATTTAGGACCCCCTTCCACCAAGGAAAATGGAGTGGAGAATAACATATTCATTCATGACTGATAACTAATCAACCATCTACAAAACATTTGGTATGTTTTACAGGTTGTGCAAGACAATCTCAATACACGTATCTTTCACCCATCAATGTTAATGTGAATTCATATTTCTGACAGGATTATACATGTTTGGAAAAAAAAATAAACCACACAGAACAGCTCCAGCAACTAAAGAGAGTCACATACAAAGTCACATACACTATGACCTGATGTAATCTTGAGTGCCCCAAGTATGCTAAATTTGGTTAGTCCATTCTGTTCTTACATGTTATAGCTAGACCATCCAAAATCAGATCAGCTGGATGTCTAACTTGAAACTACTTCAAATGTGAAACTACAAAATTATATTCAAGATGGACATTCTGGAGGTGGTAAATGAGACCTTTACATCCACTTACGTTACACACACTGACAGGATGAGAAGAGATCCTCGGCAAGCAGTATGCAACTGGGAGACAAGAAAGCTTCATCTGTCCCCTAAGCAAACACATGATTTACACTTGGTGTAAATGGTGAAAACTCAAGCCAAGAAAATAAACCAGAAATTGTTTGCCCTAGAGAAACACAGTATGATTACGGGATTAGAGGTTAGAGACTTTCTTAGATCCTCCTACTGGGAAGAAAGAGGGAAGATTGGGGTTTTTTTGCAGGCACTTTTCATTAGTGAGCTCATGAAAAAGCATGAATCAAACTATGACAAAGCCAATATAAATTAGGTAGCACTTTCAAGAACTGTCTTAACTTGAAAATATGCAGTAATAAATCAGAGAAAACTTTTTAACTGAAAAGTGAATTCCCACTGCACAAAAAGCCCTTTTAAAAAAATCAATAGTCATGACTGATTTACGGAAAAAACCCCAAAACAAAACTCCAACTAAAATAAAATCTGGGGTTCCCATTTTCCAGCATAGTGTACACTGAAACATATCGTACAGCCTTTACAGTAGTAGCCTCAAAGGTCAATAGTACTCTTCTGAGACGTTACCTTGATTCCCCCTAGTTACCCCTGTACTACCTTAAGAGATTGCATACTATAAAAGAATATATACTTTAATGACTTGTTTGGCTCATGTTCACACAGCCCTGAATCCCAGGCATTGGCCAAAGGCACTGAAGTGGCAAATGTGAAGTAGGCGTGCAAGGAGGGCCTTTGCACTATGTTCTGGCACTTGTCTAATTATGCATCTCCTGTGACAAAATTTTGTTTTCGTGACTTAGTAGACACAGAAGCCTCAAGTATTCCAAATTTGTTGAAGCACATACCAACTTTTATCTGCTTGCTGGGGCTATACACTCTTTTTTGTTTCTGACTGGTTTTACGGTCACTGAGAAACCACACTCCTCAGTGCTGATTCCCACAAAAGCCACTGAACACTCACACTGGCAATATTTATCAAACAGGCAGCTGTTCCACTTGCAGTCGTTCTGCCACTTCTCTCTGCATATTCAAACTTTTTTTTTTCCCCCAACTCTTACTTTTTCAAATTAAAATGCACCCACGTAAGCCCTCTCTCTCAAATCAACGTCAAATATTAACACAATTACAATTTTGGCCCTTGAAAGGCACACTTGGCAAAGTGATTTGCAGGCAAAAACTAACAGACATTACCATGGAGAAGCGTGTGTATACATGTATACAGAAGTATCTTGAGAACCGAAGTTTGTAGATGCAGCAAGCGAAGCACGCACTGTCTCAGCTCCCCTGCTCAGCCCATTCACTTTGCAGCAGGATTCTTGGGAGGTTGCAGTTTGTAGGTGCTGAAATAGTTCACCACTTGCTGAGGGACTTCTGCCAGGACACACTGTGCCAGAGCTTCTTTTGGAGACTTACAAAAAAAACCCACCAAAACCACAACAAACAAACAAACAAAAAACAAACAAACAAAAAAAGAACACCAAGTTTCAGTTTCCACCAACTGTCAACGGAGATCCTAAGACAGCTAATAAGCACCTCCTCTACTACGCCAATGTAAAGTCTGACATTTTACAGAGCACCTTTGTGGAACAGATGGAAGCTTCCCTGACACCTTTACCTTCTCGTTCCTATTACCAGGAACCAGCTGGCTGCCTTGCTCCACTGAAGTAACAGGAGCTGGGTGTGCACAGGGCTGCCGTGCCTGAAGATAACTTTTGTCATATGAAATACACGTGCACACTGTGCAGACTTCTAACTTCAGCCATGTAAACACACTTCCACTATCTGCTTAAGGTGACCCTTCGGGGGCTCGTCTAATCATCTGCAACCTTCTGCACCCAGTGCCATCCACAGAGAGGAGCTCTTCTAGATACTGGCTTTACTGTAACACTAAGTATGCATGAGAAAAAAAACAACAACCCTTATTTAGAAACTGAAAGCATTTGAATATATAGTTTTATACTGAATATTGACCTTAGTTAATCTACATCCAAGTGCATTGTTCAAGTAAGCATATTCTGTATTGATGTTGCTCTCTTTCTCCTTTCAGTTTGCCTGAGTTGCTCTGAGATTAAACAAAGAACTTGTATCAAAAATAAAAATACAAAGACAAAATAAGGAGGCATAAGTAGTATTATTAACAGGGTTAATATTAGGAAACACAATAAAATTAGAACATACTAGGATGGAAATAAAAATATTGATCTTATCTTCCCCATACTGAGGAAGCTTTGGTGTTTGGTGGGGGTTTTTTAATCAAATTTTTTCAGTGATATAACATTTAAAGGCCAGACTATATTAACCTGTGCATATTTTATTGTGTTCTACAGCAAGAAAAAAAAATCAGGACTCCATTCTTTCACTGCCTATTTTTTTTGTATAATTGTTTTAATGAAAACTATCAGCACAATTGTGCCCACACACAATTTCTACTGATTATGACGTCCCCAATTTAGTCTTGAATTTTAACACTGCACTAAAATCTGAGACTAACCCACATTTACAAGTGGGCATCCACAATAAAAAAAACACTTTTCCCTAAGAACAAGATCACAGTAAGTTTCTCCTCCCATATGAAAACCACATCCATTTTTTTAATCAAGTCTGAGAGAGATTTACAAAGGTCATTCCCCTGCAGCAGCTTGTCAGAAATGCAGTGCTCAGACTAGAAATGGAGTCTTTTTAAACATGAATCAGCTCACGTAAAGGAAATTGTAGAGATGCTGAAGTCTTATGTCCTTTTTTTTTTTATTTTTAGCATTTGATAAAGACTTATCTCAGACTTCAGAGTTCAAAAGCTTAGGACTAAGGATGTCCTAGCAAACCCAGCACACCTCTACAATATTTATTAAGCATACCATTAAGATTACTTACGTTCTGGAACTTCCTGAACGGCACAAACTGGACAATGTCTCTGACAGCTGATTCTCCTGATGAGGACCTAAGAACGCCATTGTCACCATCGAGAAACTCCATAGCATCAAAGTCTGCTCCTCCAACACCAACAATGATAATGGACATGGGCAATTTCGAAGCATTAACTATGGCAGTTCGAGTTTGATCAAGGTCTGTTATCACACCATCCGTTATGATCAGAAGTACAAAGTATTGCTGTCAAATCAATAAACACCATGTTATGACAAAGAAATAGAAAACATGTAGGCATGTACACTTAGAAAAAGGCACATACAGACTACATACTGTTGTCATTTTGAGCATGTTCAATATGCTCACTGAACTTTACAATCAGACATCTAAATTGTGGTCAGGCTTCCTCTGTACAGTCCGAATAAAATTTACAAGGATAAAATAATCAATCTTTTAAAATAAGTCATCTTTAAACAGCCACCTCCCAAAAACCCAGTGGTATGGCCTTTCTCTTCTCCAAAATCCCTACACAAACCAACCGTTAACCTATCTTCCAAGTATTTGTCCTGGGATAGAAGGCAGTTTGTTGAGGTTTTAGACAGAAAACACCTGTGAAACTTGTATTTATTTGCCTTCTAGTCTATTGATACCTTTATGAAAGGCTACCCTTTGCTTTGTTTAGTTAAGAAGGGTACCAAGGGTAGTTGAACAGGCTTTCATGTTTTCAGTGCATCCCCCAAAATCCTAAACATAGATTAAAGCACATCTTTTTGTGCTGAAAAACAGCATGCTCATTTTCAAATTCCTTTAATCATGTTTTCTAGCTGCTTTATGAAGTTAATTACCAAGGCACCTGAGACCACCTTGCACTACTTCAGTAATTTATTCAAGTACCACTTGAGTTGCTTCTACTATACTGCCAGGGCTTCTACAAGTTGGCATCTTAGTCTCTGTTCTGGATTGAAGTATCAAGAACAACCTAGAAGTACAGAATTCAGAAACTATCAAGCACTTTTTGGACATCTGTCTTCTCTCACTTGGTTCGTTTCATATGATTACTGAGCAGCACAAATTCAAGTTCCAAAGGTACTTCCAATATTCTTAGAAGTATTTCTCTTCAGTTCCTTGCTTCCCATCTTCCCTTATCTGCCTTCAAAATAATTGGTATTCCCTTGTCTCCTGTGTTGAAGTATCACCTTTTCTCATTGCTCCCCACCACTCCATTCCCCTACTCCAGCAAGAATGCCTACAAAACAATCATGATCTGAGAAGGCTATGACATCACATGCATGCTAGTACATCACATTGGATTTATTTCTCTCTTATACTTCCCCCATACTGGGGGGAAAAAAAAAACAAAACAAAACCAAAACCCAATCCAAACTATCTACGATATGCATTAAAAGGCAAGGCAGCAAAATTTCTTCCATACATCCTTTCAGGCAGAAAAAATAAAACCTCTTGCTAGGCATATTGCACTCTCAGGAAAAAAAAAAAAGTACAAGAGATTTTGCTACTTTCCTAATATATATATTGATGACAGTTACTACCAAGGCAAAACTTCATAAACCACCTAGCATATAAAAATCCATAGCTCTTTCCCAAATTGGTTTCCAGAGGTACTTTTATATGCAAAAATAGCTGATCTTATTTTCTGATTTTACATGACGTCTAAGAATCCAGTATTTGCTGTCATCAATGATTTAGGATATATATACAGATTTGCTGAACTTGCATGGATTATTATCTGATTCGATACTCAAGACTTGCTCTTCAGACTTCCTACTTCTTAATATAGTTGACAACTCACACACACAATTTTAATATGGAGGAAAGCACGGCACACACAGCACCTAAAGCTTTACAGTAAGGACAATTAATTATCTATGGTGGTACCTAGGCATCAGGAGCTATATCCTCCATTTCTTTGTTACCTACCTTAATTTTCTGTCTCAGCTATCTGATGTGAAACAAGGTCTAGCTGATGTTCCTCAGCTGAGGTTAAATCACTTTCCTATATGGAAAGGTTTTAATTAGACTTTAAACACTGTATAGCACTGCAAGAGATTTTTGTTGGGATGCATCGCTTCTGAGCTTGGAGGAGGTGACCCTTGAATATTAGCCAGCTGCCTTGGGCCCCTCTTCCTTCCAGGGCTTTGCCCCATGGTATTCTACCAAGCAGATCCCTGAAGAGGCCAAAGTCTGCTCTCCTGAAGTCCAGGGACTTCTTGCTTGCTGCACGCCCTCCTCGCTGCCCTGAGGATCTTGAACCACCATTTTGTGGTCACTGCAGCCAAGGCTGCCCTTGAGCTTCACATCCCCTACCAGGCCCTCCTTATTGGTGAGAACAAGGTCCAGCATGGCACCTCTCCTTGTGGGCTCCTCTATCACTTGGAGGAGGAAGTGATCATCAACACATTCCAGGAACTTCCTGGATTGCTTGCGCTCTGCTGTGTTGCCCTTCCAACAGATGCCAGAATGGTTCAAGTCCCGCTTATATAAGGACCAGGGCTTGTGAATGGGAGGAATGCTCTTATCTGCCTATAGAGGACAAATCAGTCTGCTTTTATCTCGTTTTAAGGCTACCAAACATCAATTCACAAGGTAACTGGCAAGCTGTCAAAACAAGTACACTTACAAGCTTAAAAGAGAAAAACAGTATTCATAAACTAGACTGGAAAGAAAAAAAGTACGAAAATTACTATTCTTTACCATAAAGAACTTACAGATGCCATTTTCTGTTGTGTAGCTGCAGCAGCAAATCTTGCCACATGATTTATAATTGGAGAAAAATTTGTTGGCCCATATAACCTCACTTGAGGAAGACAAGCCCGATATGCGTCAACAATGCCCTGGATTCCTAGAAAACACAAATAGATCATATTAATTTTTTCATGTTAAAATATTTTGAAGCACTCAATCTTCCTAAAACACTGTCTATATCAGTTATTTAAAGTGACAATGCAAAGATTTAAAACTAACAATGATAAAGAAAATTATTCGTGAACAACAGAGGCCTTCAGCTTGACCAACGCTTAATGCACACAACACTCTTGGCTTTATGTGACTAGAAACGCCAAATACTGTATGCACAAGTGAGTCTAACTGAATTACAACAGTTCTTTTTGCCTAGCAGCTTGTGGCAGTTAGCAGCGTGATCAGGGAGGCCATGTTGAACAGGCACTAGCAGCATCATACTCAAACTAGACAACTCCACACCAGCAGCGAAGTAGAATGAAGTGGTTGGACTACATGAGAGAACCGTTCCCAGCTTACCTGTACTGTGCCCTAGCTGGTTAAAACACTTCTTTCATGAATCATTACAGAAGACCAAATGCGATTTCTAATCGCTAAGAATCAGTTATAAAATTGTTTCCTGCTACATGAATGAACTCATCATTTAATTAGAACAACATGCTTTGCAGTTCACCCTTGAAGTGTTTTTATCCCTTCCCCTTAGACGTTTTATTTTCTAGGTCTGATGTCACTTTCTCAGACTCACCATTACAGAATGGGTTTGATGGGTTAAAATTTAATGGGAACTCATGTGACACCTGTCAATACAAAAAAAAGACATAGTCAGGACTGTATATACAATCTCTTCCTGAAATAAGCCCTTTTAGTTGTCTTATATAGTGCATTTACATATTCCATTACCTGAAAGGAAGGAGGAATTTGCGCACCAAATCCAAAAGCTGGAAACATCTTATCTCTAAAAAAGCAATTTAAAAGAAAATGAAGTGAGTGCCTTCCTTTAAAAGCTGTCACAATTCAGTAAGTTTAGCTAATCAGTGCTGCTTTTGATCATTAAAAATGCTCTTTATTAAACATTAAGAGTCAATATATAATGGAAGTTCCCCTGTAATTGTTTCTAGGACCAAAACTGTTTTTTCACACCAAATTGGCAAGAAATCAAGCATTTATTTAAATTAATGCTGCTCTTTACATCACAGATGAAAAGCCTTGCTTGTCTGCTGTAAACACAAGCTTCTGCTTGTGATTATGTGATTGTGCAGTGATTATGAAGTCTTTTTTAGCTCTACATCTCCGCTCAGAAGTTTTATTCCAATACATCTGTTGGCATCTTCAACACTGGCTTAAGAAACTACCACAAAAATATACACACATCCAAAAAAATGATTTAAATAAAAACCTAAAACTTACGCATCGTAATCTTGAATGACCATTCCAACAGACCAAATGGCTGTTAGGTATTCATTAACTCCATTAGGGCTAAGGTAATGCAGAGAGTCTGGAGAGCGAGGGTCTCCATTGGAGCCTGTAAAATCTATCCCCACCTGTCAAATGCAATATTTGTATCAAATTGCTGTTAGAAGTAAAATTAGGTTACTTATCTCTGGCAAAGCCAAAGTGAAAATCAAAAAAGAGTTGTAAATAGTAGTTACCAGGACACCTACAAATCTAACAGGCATAATACTTTGATGCAGGTTTCTTAAAGTATTAACGCTCTTAAAGGAACACCACTCCAAAACCAGCAGAAACTCTGCATCTCTCAGAAGGGCTGAAACGACTTTCATCTGTCAGGTTTTCACCTTGTTTACTTTCAGTTACCATTCACAGCAGCTCTTCAATAGCTATTAAATGAATTTCATCTTGTTTCTTGCCATACACATCTTTCGTCTCAGAAGTACAACTAGCCAGACACCACAGAACCCTAGATAGTTCTTCCTCTGACCTCAATGAATTTTCTCTGCTTTGGTGATGAGACATATTACCAAGGTAAAGATATCTTACTGTTATTTGTGCTGCATTTGGTTCATGAATTAAGTAACTCAAGGGTCCAAACCCATATGATGGCTTCTGTATGTTGCTTTCATTAAGCAAAGGGTCTTGAAAACCACCAAAGGCAAAAGTAAAATCTTTGGTTGGGGTGATGCAGGACGGGAAGAACCCTTATGAAAAGGAAACTTGAAGTAAATCTGTACATTTCTCCTTGGTCTCCATTCACACAGCTCAGCTAGTTCCTAACAAACATAACTACAGGTTCAGAACTTTTGTGCCATGAATAAAAAAAATAATTTTTCCTAAACAGGCTAGATGGACTCTGGCAAAATAGCTTCCTCCCCTCCATGGTACACAACAAAAAATAAATAAATACAATAATCAAATGAAGAGCACAGGCAATCAATGATATATGTCAGTTTGCTCCAAAACTCAAAAGCTACTTTATAAAAATGATTTAACTTACTGTGAAATTCAGCTGACACCCACCCATGATGTAATCAAGGAATGTGCATTCTACTATGATCTAAAAATAGAAGTTAAAGATAGAAATTAACTTTTTTTTTAATAGGAGAAAACCAGTACGTATTATTGGAGCAAATTTTGATGTTCCAGATTTGTTATCTTCACCTATCCAAAGCACTACTTTTACATTATAGATATCCCACCAACTCACCCACTGCAGTGAGGATATTTACAGTGTTTGCCATCACACAATGCATCAGAATCAGGCCATTTACACAGTTACAGGCAGACAACAAAGCAGCTCCAAAAGCTGCCATAATTTATAAACCAACATATTATGACAGACTTACCAGATTTTAATTTACCATAAAACAATGAGTTGGGAAATGCAGCAGTTCAGGAATGGCCTTACAAATTGGTAAGCGGCTTTTGCCATATAGGTGGCATCTTTAAGAGAAAGTGAGAGGATGGGGAGAACAGATACATGATTCAGGTGTCAACCTGAAGCAATGCATCCCAACAAAGAGGAAGTCAGGCAAAAATGCCAGGAGGCCTGTGTGGATGGACAAGGTGCTCCTGGACAAAGTCAAACACAAAAAGGA